CCTACAAGGAAGGTTGGGCAGACAATTAATATCCCGGTCTTTTTTGGTCGGCGGCAAACCAAAGAATTCACACCTTGCTGCGAACCTACAACACTCGGCACTAAACGAACGTTCAATTTGTTCATGCTTTGAGGTAGAGAATGTTCAACCGTTCATCGACGTTACTCAATAAATAGGGGGACTTTGCTGAAAATACTGTACCAAACTATTTTACTATTTACAAACTATTTTTTGTATGATTGGAGACCTTTCATTGTGTATTTATTGTGTGTTTGGTAATGGTTATGAGAATGTTAAAAGGTTTTATCAAAGTTTGTTTAAGGAATGAATAGAGTTCAAAAAATGCCCGCATTCATTAAAATTTTCTATACGATAAGATGCCTTTATTTGTGTATTTGTAGTGTGTTTTCAAAATTTACGTAATTTAAGTATGTAGTGGTTTTTTTCTTATAGTTGATAATCTGCAACTGTAAAGTTGTTTTATTTCAAAGGTAAGTAACACCATAGGCCTACCTCGATTATTTAATTTACCTTTCTCAGTTTATTCTCTTTGTGTAATTAGGTTACAGTGGATTTGTTTATATAGAACAAAAAATAGAACAGCAAAAATATTAAAATTAATGTGAACATTATTTGAGTTTTTTTTTTAACTAACAACATAACGTACAACTTATAGGTCTCTGAGATTATAAAAAGTTTTTTCCCCAAACGATGATTTGTTTGTATAAAATCCATAACTTAAATTACTGTTACTCGCAATTCCATAACCCTAATAAGATCATGTAGCTACCCCAGTTATTAACAAGTATGCCTATTTGAAATCATCGCCAATTTCAAACTATTATACATGTATTATCTTCCACCTACTTATCTTGATTCATGGATTTTTTTTATTACTTTATCATGAAATCCAAGAGTAATAATGTTAAATATACCCTGCTACTTTATGAAAGATTAGTATTGCGATGTTTGTTTTCCTAACATTTTGAGCTGTTACAAATATGCTAAAGCTACTTACATTGCTGCATATCAAAAGGAACAAAACTGGTAATTAATGTTTCATATATTGTAATAACGTTTAATGGCACGTTCTTAAGCGTTAATATGGAATTCAAAACGCTGAAATCCCCAGTTAATTGCAATTTAATGTACATAAAGACCTTCTAAACAGAAGGATTAAGTTGCACATACATTTATTACAAACATTTATAGTTCGGATTTTAGTTTTTATATGTTTTACAAAATTGAATTGTTCAAATGCGTACAAAAAAACCTTAAAAGATGTACAATCAAGTCCATAATATTAAATGTGTTACTTGTAATTAAATATTTTTATAAGGGATACAAAACTTAGTATAATGTTTAATTTACATGTATCATTATAATTATGACATACGACATATGTGTACAGTTAATGTGTTTTTTTTTTCATACAAGGGTTTGCATAGCATGATAGTATTTAATTAATAATATTTAGTAGGTTTAGCAGCAACTAGCATGATAGTATTTTAATTGAGTAAAGCAAAAAGGATGTAAATGCATAAAATTCAATAATTAATTGTATTTTTTATGTATTATATTTATCCTTTACATATTTTAAGACTAGTATCATAATAAAAGTACTGTATTCTAATTTAGAAAATGTCACAGGTTTTTCAAGTACAAGAACAGTGATCAATAGTGTACTTATTTGCATTGCAACATAGACTGTGTTTTAATAAAAAAGGTTTAGATGTAAAATGCGCTCATTTTCAAACCGTTTTATACCATGAATATTTCTTATGATTATGTTTATTTAAAATATATTGTGATTGAAATATTTAGATTCTTTCGCTATAAATGATAATATACGTGTTTTTCACCTTTAAACTCGGGAAATGATTTTTTCCATGTACACATTGTTAAAACACTTCATCATTTGTGTGTGCCTTCAAAGACTAGGATTATGTTTGAAGTCGACCAAGTTATTTATCTAGTCTAACAAGTTTGTTTAGTCTACACATGTATCGGCTGATTTCAGCGGGCTTTGATCAAAGTAATCAGCTGTTTGCGATAACTTGCACAACCAGCTGATTGTGGTAATTTAATAACAAACATCTGTATTGCACTTCCACGAACACCAACAACTACTTCTTGTATACGACCTGTGATAGGGTCAACTTGAACCTTTCGTTGGGAACGTTGATTTTGGAATTAATCATGGATGGAAAATATTCGTAATAAATCCTAAAAGAAGATAAACCCGTATCACCAAAAAATTAACTTAAAGAATTCATGAGTTGTTCAAAATTGAAAGAAAACATCTACAATGTAATTATTTGTTATTTCCATATTGGCATTTCGATCAATAATTATGTTAAACAACAATCCATTTAAAAAGCAAGAAACTTCATATTCATGTATTTAGTTGAAAATAAACAAACATAGGCCTATTCGCAAATGCACAAAATAAAGGCATTGGTACATGAAAATCCATTGAGGAAAAGACTCGATGAAAAATTCCGCTGTTACATAAGGATTGGCTATCAAAAATTTGCATTACTAATTTTCCACAAATTCAAGATTTCAAAAAATGTTGTTTACGAAGATATTTACATAAAATTAATGTGTATAGCTAACACTTATTGATTAGCTTTAAAACCTAAATTAATTTATTATTATAATTCCAGTAGAAACAAATTCACACCTATTTCAGTAATATAGGTTTTTTTTAATTAATTAAAATTGTCTGTGACGGTGACATGTTCCTTTCGGTTAATACAATAACAAATAGGGCCTATTTATTTCCACAAATTATAACATTCCCTATACAAATGGGGAAACGGTAATTAATCGTTTGGCCACTCATACGATTAAACCAATCGATTTAACATTGGTAAACAGGTTAAATCGCTTAATTGAAATCACTGCATTGAATTGCTGCAAACAAACAAAATATGTTCCGTATGGATTGAAATAATGCTTACTTTGGTTAACCGATTCTGTTTTCCCTAACGTATTATAAATAAATTAAGTTATTTAATTATTATTTGACAATACAATTTTTTAATCAATGTAATGCTATATTTTATTATTGCCGGTTAATTAAATGTGGGGCTGCGTAGATTAAATTTTAATTTGTTTCGACATAATATTCTGAAAATATTTCATTAAGTAATTTCATTAATATGAAAATATTATCATAAAGTCGTAATTTACAAGATTAACAATGCTAAGTAATATATTTATTAACTAATTTTTAACGAATTGTGGATATTTATAGGCATGCACTGTGGATGCCATACTCCCTGGTGTGGATTAACGTCCGCACGAGTGAGTACTACGACTATCCGCAGTAATATCCTGATAATTAGACCAATTCGTATATATACCTAGGCAAAAATGAAAATTTGGTTCGGATTCCACTATAAACTGTAGGTCCCTTAGTTGCCACATAGATGAAGGGTTGCCATTAGCTGTATGGGCTATTAATTAACAACTGTGTCTAAGGAATATATCGGCCTTAGTCACTAACAAGACAACTGTACAAGATCGCACCACTCATCTCCATTCATGCTTGGTTTAAAATACCTACTTTGTATGGTCGCCATTTAATTGAAAGTATGAAGTATTATATTATTTCGGTAGTTTGGGATTTTAGTTCTTTGCAGATTGACATTTTACGGTACTTATAAACACAGTTACAAGAGTAATTCGTCATCTTTTCAAATATTATTTTGTCTAGGCTTTATTAATTTATTAGATTATGGATCCAAGACTTCGTTTAACTTGGCATATTAATAGACCATTTGTTATGATAAATTTGTTTTTATCAATGCGGGCTCTGCGGGTTGGCTGATATATTATACTGATTAATACTGTATTTAGTTCTGTATCAAAATCAAATTGCTATCAATAATTTCAGCAAGATAGATCTAGAATTATTTTCATTGTGTAGACAAAGTTTCGTTAATGACAAATCTGTATTTTGTATAAATAAAGTAGTTTAACATTACGACCAAGCTTCAGTCCATAGTTTTAGTTGACACAATAACATTATGAAACATACCATTAGAGTAAACATAATGCCTGTTTTTACGAAATCCCAGCGTAGGTAATCCCTTAAGCCTATTCACCGTCTCTTAATCTTGATCAAGTTGGTTATTTTACCCATTCATCAACAACTTTAGTCCCCCAACCTTGAGTCTAAGTCCATTTATATAAGACTCGTCTTCATCATTTACTCCCATTTACGAACTTTCTAAGTAATTGTACATGCGTTGTGTAAGATTTGTATGATTCGGCTTTGTTAATTCATATTGCCTTATAATTAAGCTAAAATAAAATAATAATTTTACTGGTTTAGACAGCTTACAACACTGAAAAAAAATTTACATGACGTGTGCGCGGTAAATTTATGGAAGATGGAAAAAATTAAGGAGGTCTAGGGATAGGACTCTCTTAGAAAAAAGCGATATATATTTTTTTTCTAACGCATTGACATAGTTTGTTGGCATTAAAAAAAAATTCTAGCATAGAGACAACATTCGATTGTTATTCTACTAATAACCATAAAGAAACTGCATAATGAAACCTTTAACAATAACTACGTTTAGCACTGCTGTGGAGAACAATGTATTTATGTGGCGAATAGACACAATGAGCCTTCAGTTGCTCTCCACCATGTTATTTCTATTTTACTAGGGTTTATTTTAAGCGGAATAAAGGATTTTAAACGCATGTTTTCTGTGTTACGAGTGTGCTTTTGTTTACATTGACGCTCTTTTGTATTGCTTTTACCGTCCTATGGAACTTTTAGTGAGGGTTTTCTTTGGAGGAAATCAGCAGATACAATTTACGTCTACGATACCTATCCTGTTTTCCAGAACTGTGTACCTACGACATCAAATGGGCCTTAAATGGTCATGTCGCAGTATTTTCACATGGCAAAATTGTCATTGGTGAAATCTAGGCTTGGACCCAATCCTTCGCGGACACCTTGCCTATATTGTGAGTGTTACCTTTGCACTCGTTGGCGTCCCTAGCGGTGGCTCGGCCCCAGGGTCTGTCGAAGTGGAAGGGTTTGCATCTCTCACAGTCTCTTCCTGCAGTGTTGTGTTTACAGTCGCAAGTCAACAGTCCCGACGGCCCGGGGACACACTTGGAGGCATGTCCGTTACACTTGCACCTTCCTCCCACAGCGAAGTCCGACACGGCGTAGTGGTAGGACATGGTGGTGGAGGTGGTCGTCATCAGAGAGTTGAGCACCATCCCTGAGGGACTGTCCGCGGGCAGAGGTTCGTTCTGGAGGTCCTGTGAAGGATTCAGCTCGACCTTCGGAGGAACGGGTCCGTTGGTGATTTTGTTCACGTCTTCCAAATCTTTCTTGGGATCTTTCTCCAGGTCGACGATGGATATGGTGTCATCTTCCTCTTCCATGATGGAAGGGAAGTGGAGACGGTTGAAGACTACCTTGATGTCAGTGGCGGTTACCCAGTCTTGTAGCACGGGGGAGGTGTCAAAGTCCGCGGCGCTGGGACGACCCTCCAGCGTGCTGAAGGCGATCCTGGACGCGATAGGACCTCCAGCTCCGTCACCGTTGAACCTATGGGAGTCCGTGCACAGAGCTTCTTGCTCGTTGGCTTTGGTGATAGTGGCTCTGTTGGGTCTGCCGTAAACTCTCCGACACTGGCCGGAGTAGAACTGGAAGGGTTGCCAGGTCTTGCCGTAGTCCATGCTCTTGTAGATCGCGATGGAGTCCGGTTTGGCGGCGCGCGGACAGAACTGCAGACTGACGTAGGTCAGCTCGTACTTCTTGCCTAGAGACAGTGTGAGGGTGACGTTGTCCGGGGGACTGTTGTAGGAGGCGGGGGCGACGATGGGCTCCGACCTCCAGCAGGTGATGTTGTTGGGGTTGTTAAGGTCCGTCAGGTAGGACGGTGGGTGTCGTCGCTTGGGCTGAGAGTCGTCACACATGTGACACACACTGTCCGGGATATCGCAGTAGCGGGAAGGTCCGAACGTGCCGCAAGTGCTAGACGCCTCCACAGGGCTGCCGAACGCGGCGTTCACAAAGTCCGGGATGCATCGCCTAGGTCGGTCCTCGTCGTAGCACGGGTCTATCGGCGTTTGCTGCGCCGCGAACATCTTCAGGAAGGCTTCGTTCCCTCCGTGTGCCACCATCGGCACCAGGGTCAGCACCACCACGAACCACTTGAAAACCATCGTTACTTTATCTCCTTCACTTATTATACTTCCTCTCTCTCCAGCATCTCACGTTTATTTAGTATTGCTACACATGTCCACGCACACGCACCATACACTCGCGACACCGACTGACGCACGGACGCACACTCACCTATCGCGGCGAGCTCTGACGAGTGACTGCCGCACTGGTGTGAGAGCGCGGGGGGCGGGGCCCTCCCCCTCGACCAATCACGTCGCCGAATTCTTACCTATATATAATTGCCGTTCACACCGGCGCTATCTATAATTGCCCGTGATAATGGGTATTATTAAAAGCGTCAGACTGCATGTCTCGGACCGGCTTGTTTACACTCGGGCTCCGACTGACCGAGTTATGACAAAGCCAGCCGTTGTGACTAATTGTGTGATATGCTCCTTTGTCATTCCACCATATTGTGCTTATTTCCGGACAGAGTCGGTTTAGAGGTAATTTGACGCCTCATTAACTAAACTATCAAAGGGTAATGATTATTAATAGTGTGTAAGTCATGTCTTTTCATCTCCAGTACGTGATATTTGGATCAAAATACAGTATTATAATGAAGCAAATAACTAACGTATTGATCTGTCATAAATTAATTACCGTACGCGTCTTATTTTGGGATTTTTTTATTTTAAAGCAAATCTTTGCGAAGGTTTGTGTTAGGAAGGTGGTTTTAACATTTAATCAGTGTTATTATCAATTCTTAGTTTACCCCTACTAAGAAAAGTGATAAGAAATTATGAATACCTGAATACCTGTTGGTCAATATACTACCCCCCTAGATATATAGCCCTAATAGATCTTTTTCCATACAGCAGCTTCTTCAAATTAACCTTCTAAAATCACTACAGATCTGATACTTAAGAAAATAAAACATACCTGTGTTTCAGTTTTAGCAAAAATCTGTTACAGATGTGTATCTGGCGTTCTAACGTTTTTGACCCATCATACTCGAAGTCTGTACAGTTTAGTTTATAGTTGTTACCTATAAAAACAGGACAAAAGTTTAATTCCTTGATTCTGATAGAAATATACAGTACTTTAGTATAGAAATAAAGAATTTATTTATAAAACAACTTATAGCTACAACAATAGCTTACTAAACTCCCAAAGTGTCGATGATAAATAGAGGAAATATTATTAGAAAACATAGTTATGAGAACACGCAAAAATATTCGCATTATTGACACATATAATCAGTCTTCGAACAATATAATGTGATTGCCTTCTTTCGGATTAATAATTACAATTCAGTAGCCATTGTTCGTATACGAATTAAAATAATAAAATGTTAGATAAACTTTACATTAATGTTAGCGTTACAAGTTTTTAAAGTTTTTTTGAATTTTCACTATATTATTAATGTAATAATTATTGAGGATCATTTTAGGATAATACTGACGTTCTTTCGGTACAGTTTAACTAGGTTTACACTTGATTTATATAGCAACAGATGCGTCTGTACATGTTTAATAGTCATAAACCTTTCGTGACTGAAAATGTTTTAGTGGGAAAACATTCATGCTCAATGTTTTTCTTTAATTTTAACTCTAGCTTGAATTGCTATCAAGTAATCACCTATCAACTATTGTAACACTCATTTGTATACTCTATATCCTTTAAAAATCCCCCCCAAACTACAAATAATAATACCCATTCCTGTGACTAAACCAGCAACGAACACAGATTGACCTTTTCAGGACGCACGTGGCTGAACATGGTAGAGTGTGCCGATCCAATGACTATACACTTTCATACATATATAATCAACGGTCAAACGTCGTGCACGGTTCACTGGAAAGGTTGAATGATTCAATCCATCTACTGTCCGATGTCTTCAAAGGCACACAACAAGTAACTCAATCGTCCTGGCTAACTCCACACGTGACTGGACTTGTCTTCCCTTCCAACTTTCATAACTGCTTTATTTGTTGACGGAAAACTTTTGTCAAGTCTCGTGGGCTTTTCTGGTTATTTGGGTTTACTCTTGTGATTTCGTTACAACATGTGACAGCAAGTCTGTATTGTTTATTAGATAAGGAATTTAAAATACAAAATGTGTGCATTTTAATCAATTAAGGTTTTTTTCGTTGAAAATTACAGACAAATTGTGTTGTACCACAGCCTCCTGTGGTTGTACTGATGCTGTAGAATAAAGATTTCAAATAGGGAGTGTGGGTTGTCTTTTAAAATTTCAGGGCTCATAAATGCAAAATAGAAAAATTCTCACAATTGATTAACTAGAGTATTATTATGGTGTTACGTCATCTAAATGGCGATCTTATTGTCTCAACAATATTCCCTCTTTTAATATATATCACATAATTTATTGTGTACAATAGTATTAAATGCAACTCATCCAAACCAGAACTATCAATAGACAATAAATAAGTATATTTGTTCAGAATAGGTCCTGTATTCAATTATAGTTCTTAATTTGTGATTTTGTTTATAGAAAATACACCGGTCTTGCATGTAAGGGACAAGTAAATTTTAGACATCTCAATCACAGAATATGTCATGTACACGTGCCAAATTGGCTCAAACAATTTTGGAAATCCCATCAATTCGTGTTGCGTGTGTTCACCACTTAATCCGGCAAATTACTAACTTAAAAAAACATTGTACGGACAAAGAAACGTTTTTTTTTTAATTTAATCTTTACTACATATCAACTTAAACACTTTTGAAATCCCTTTAAGTCGTGTTTCAGTTATTTCACATTTTTCGTGTTGCATTTTTATCTATGCTAACTTTAACTAACATAAAAAAACATTGTACAGAAAAAGATAAAGGTTGTATAAATCTTTACCATATACTACCCACGGCCACCACATCCATTATCCATTACCCATATCACGACCACGTGCGAAATTACCTTGGAAAACACTTTAGAATACCCCTCCTTATCAAGTCTTGTTAGGTTGTAGCGTTGTAGGTATATTTGTTGCTTGGATGTTGGCACTACTTAATCCGGCTGTCGGGACCGGAACAAGCTAATGCAGCGCCCCTGGGGACGACAGCCTAAAGCTCTCAACTTCCGCAGCCTCTTTGAGCGCAACCCGACATTCCCTGGGGACAAGACCTTCCAAATCCTTCGTCTTGCTTTGGACTTCCTTTACAAACGTGGTAAACCAGCATTACGAATGAATAAACGTAATAAACAGCATAATCCAAACGTGGGTGTGTAGGGAAAGAAAGATATTTTTGTATAAGATTCGTAATTTACGAAAGATATCGAATTTAAGAAGTGGGCAGCTTTAATAATTGCATCAATACAAATTCTTCAAAAATATTAAATTCTTTTGAATCTTCAATCGTGATTAGGGATTTGAATGAATACAGATTGGGTTTCAACTATAATTGTATGGAAAAATAAAACAGGAAACAGAAATTAAAAAGCAGTTGACTCTGAGGGGGAATTTTTGCAGTAGACGTTCTGTTTTGGTGAAAACTGGCTAAATGTGGTCCAATTGGTCGGGCTTTAGTTCAGCAATCAAATCCAATGGTAATAAGCAGCGTGCAATGAAACAATGGTGGTAAAGTAACATTTAGTTCTGGTAAATACGGTATTTTACCTATTTGGGTTGAGAAATAAGGAAATCTTATTATAAATATTACACAAATTAAATCATTTTGAGAGAAAATAATTTTGATGGTGAGTCGTTTGTGAAGATTTTAGTTCTAAATAGTAGCAAAATATAAAACTCTTGCCTTCAAAAATCGTGCTATTCCACGGGCATTTCCTAAAGATGTTAAGCTATTAAAATATGTAATTACATAAAAAATCTGGTTTTGATGTGACATAGCTAAATCAAGTGTTAATACAAATTATCTTTAACGCTGACTTTTTTTTTTAAATCGCGCAGACTTCATGGAAAATAGATATAAGAATTCTTTTTTCAACTCAATATATTATGTATAGCATTTAAAATTGTTCAGGAAATTACCATTTAGATGAAAATAATAATACAATGGCTATACTCACTTTCCAACACCACTCCATGAATTAGGGCGAACATAATTTTAGTTTTTCATTTCTCAAAAGTTTTCTATCCTAGAGTATCCTAGGGCATGATTAAACACTCTGAGATAGCCAAAGGTTCCAAATTGCACTTTCTTTTTACAAGTTTCTACAACAGTTTGTAAACAAAGATTACAACAACATAACCACTCACGACACAGAACAGGTGTCCGAAAAATCATCTGCTGAAAAACAGGCCTGCCAACATTTGATTTGTTTTCCAACGACCACTAAACTAATGATATTCAGATAGAACGATCATTCCTCTTCTATGCTATATAAAATTAACGTACTTCTGTCAAAAAACAAGAGATATATAACGACTTTTGTGAACCGTTACATAGTCATCGTGGTCGAGACTTTAGCACTACTAGTTGAACCCGTGCGAATTCGCACGAATAATAAATTAGGATATTATAGCAACGTCTTTAGAAGTTGCGTCGTTGTATCGGCGTTTTGAGCTCGATCGTTGGCTATATGCATTCTAAGTTCATTTTGCTGTTCAGTAGGAGTATTTTGCAGGACGAAGCTCATCGTGCTGAAAACTTGCGCGTATGGATTAATATCAACCAAATGTTGAGTCAAAATGTCCATGAGTTCAGTGCTGCAAGAGACATTAGCTTCGTTTAGCATTCTTTCTTGAACAGCGGTTTCGACGACCGTAGATATAAATTTGGGCACATGTGGGATGCTCCCCTTCTGACGGTTGAAAGGTGCCAATTGAGTGATAAATTGTGTCGTGCACCTTATACATGAAAGGCCCTGAATATCGTTACGGTCGTGACTATGAACGCTTCGAGGGTTTAATTAAATATAATTTATGTAACTTGTTATGTTGTACAAATGTTGAGTGTGATATTAAAATTATTTAAATTTTTAGCAAAAATAAATCTTTAATTTTTAGTAACTAAACTTGAATAACAGAGTTGTATATTATTGTATACGTGTTTAATTATGTTTATTTATATTACTTATTTCTATTTAATTATGTTTCAAATTTGTCACGGGATTTAGAGATTTGAAAGCATAGTATTCCAGAGTAAACCTTACTTAGATTTCATTTTTTATTTTATTTGCACATCATCAAATGTTTATTTAAGG